TGCGGGGGAGGGGTAGTCCTCATTACTCCCGAGGGCTTCAGAGCCTACTATGCAATCCGCTTCTCCTTCAAAGTCTCCAACAACGAGGCCGAATATGAGGCCCTCCTATGTGGCCTTCGGCTGGCTGCCAACATGAGGGCTCGGCAGATCCACATCAAATACGACTCCAAGTTGGTCGTTGGCCAAATCTCCAAGGAATATGAGGCCAAGGAGGGAAGAATGAAACAATACAAGGAAGCGGCCAAGGAGTTGCTCAAGGTATTTGAAGCACACTCTCTCACTCAAATACCGAGGGCTCAGAACTCCGAGGCCGACATATTATCTAAGCTCTCGGCCGACTCCCCCCGAGCACATCTCCAAAATTTCCAAAATCGAGGAACTCAGCCTCTCAAGCATCCATGCAAGCCCCGTTATGAACATACAACAACGTCAAGAGGATTGGATCTCAGATATCACCACCTTCATCTCCACAGGGCAGCTACCCGAGAATGAGGCCCGCGCTAAACTGGCAAAGCTGAGGGCTCCTAGCTACACCATCGAAGATGGAAGGCTCTACAAACGATCTTACAATGGCACGCTACTTCGGTGCCTTCATCCAGATGAAGCCGAGGTCGCAATGGAGGAAGTGCACAGTGGCACTTGCTCAGCTCACCAGGGACCCTTCTCCATGTCCCGAAGGCTCATTCTCCAGGGCTACTTCTGGCCAACCATGGCCAGGGATTGTGCTGACCTTGCCCGGAGGTGCACCGCATGTCAACATTTCCAGAAAGCTCCCGGCAGGCCAGCGGTCAACTATGCCCCCATCAGCACCTCTGTCCCTTTTCTCGATGGGGGATAGACCTTGTGGGCCCTCTGCCGAGGGGTACCTCCAACAACAGATACATCATTGTGGCCGTCGACTACTTTACCAAGTGGGTGGAGGCTGAACCCCTCGCCAGCATCACAGAGGCGAAGTGTCGTCACTTCGTCCTCAAGAACATCCTCACAAGGTTTGGCGTCCCCCAGCAGATCATCTCCGACAATGGGACACAATTTGAGGCAGCCCCCTTCTGTGCCCTTCTGGAGGCATGGGGCATCAAACACACCTTCTCCTCCGTTGCCTACCCTCAAGGCAACGGGCAAGTAGAGAACGCCAATCGGACCTTGCTCGAGGGCCTCAAAAAGAAGCTGGAGGCCGAGGGTGGTGGCTGGGTGGAAGAACTCCACAACATCCTTTGGGCCTACCGCACCACCCCTCGGCGAGCAACAGGTGAAACACCCTTCTCCCTCTGCTACGGTTTTGAAGCCAAAGCTCCTACGGAAGTCACCCTTCCCACCCGAAGGGTGATCCAATATGACCCCGAGGTCAACGTCAGCAACATGGCCCTCGACCTCCACCTCATTTCAGAACGCCGGGAGCAGGCCTTCATCCGGGCAGAAAACTACCGAAGGCAAGTTAAAAGCTACATCGACGCCAAAGTTCGCACCCGAGAATTTCAAGTGGGGGACTATGTCCTCCGGAGGAGGGAAGCCAGCCAACCAACCGAGGGAGGAAAAATGGCACCAAAATTCGAAGGCCCCTACATCATAGCAGCCATCATCAAACCTGGGACCTACAAGCTCAAACGCCCCAACGGGAAAGAAGTCCCTAGGCACTGGAATGTACACCACTTAGTTAAATTTTATTAATAATGTAAGAGCGGCCAAGCCCTCATAACTAGTGAATGTACTATCCTATGGCCCAAGGCCTCCAATTTCGAAGAATGAAGATACATTCAAGACATCAAGCCCTCATACTGACTACAGGCCCCCGGCCTCACCACGAGAAGAACCCCCTCCGGCACCAAGTGCCGAGGGCGGCCACCATCAACAGCTACGACAACAGTGAAAACACCACGTGTTTTCAGTCAAGACCCCTCGGTACCAAGTACCGAGGGAGGGACTCCTATCACCAACAATAAGGAACGCCATGTGTGTCATTTCCCTTCGGCACCCAGTGCCGAGGGTACATTCCCACCTTCAACATCAAAAAAGAAAAGATGAGAACAGCAAGTGTTCCTACAGAAGACCCTTCGGCACCCAGTGCCGAGGGTACACCTCCATCATCAAACATCGAAACGAAGAAAAAACACCAAATGTTCCAAAGAAGACCCCTCGGCACCCAGTGCCAGGGATATGCTCTCCTATCAACTTCCAAACATCTGTTGGGAAACACCAAGTGTTTCATTTGAAGACCCTTCGGTACCAAGTACCGAGGGTAGACGCCTACATCAACTACAACAAAAGAGAACACCAAGTGTTCCTACAGAAGACCCCTCGGTACCAAGTACCGGGGGCTACACATCGAAACTAACACCAAGTGTTGTTTCTAAAAGCCGTACCCCACGAGGACGCATATACCGAAGGCGCCACCATCGGTGCCGGCAGCACGTAGTGCCCCCGGCCATTTGCAACTAGTGTGCAAATGAAAACCCTTCCTTGAAACGCTTTCCGCGTCACTACCCCCAGGGTATGACAGGCATGAGAAATGCCCAGGATTCGACTTTCAAAAACGGAACGCTATCCGCGTCACTACCCCCAGGGTATGACAGGCATGAGAAATGCCCAGGATTCGACTTCCAAACCGAAACGCTCCCCGCGCCACCACCCCAAGGGTGTGGCAGGCCACGGACTATGTCTAGCGCCGAGGGGACGACTTTCAAAAATGAGGCGCTTTCCGCGCCATCCCCCAAGGGGAGGCAGGTTACGGACCACCATATCTTGTGCCCAGGAAACGTCCCTCGATCCCCTCGGAACTCGGAAGGTTAACCCGAGGGAGGAGAGGGGGTGAAGGGGAGTAGACTCAGCGAGAAATCAAAGAGTACACTCCAACAGATCACAACAAGCCGAGGGCTCCCCACGGGAACACCTCCGGTAACTGAAGGCTCCTATTTCCCGAAGGATACTACTCGAACAAATAGCAGCAAGGAACGGCTAAGTCCACTGTCTGGTCACCTCCGGTCACACAAACACCGAAGGCTTCAACAATACAAAGGGACTGGACTATCCAAAGTACACTAAGACGGTACCTTCAAATATGTACCGAAGGCAGCTGTTATACATTAATACCGAGGGCCCCTACCTCATTACAAGGGACACAACTGGCTGAGTCAAACTCTACAACTCTTCAGAGTGTATGCCGAGGGCACACACTCCTCATTGGCTTTCTTCACAACAACATGATTCAACATCAATTTACGCAAAGTAATGTAGAGTCAGAGGGCACCTATCACCCGAAGGCTACACAAGGAAGCAGCACTTGAAAAAATTCTAAGTCCTAAAGATTGGGCCCCCGGCCCAATCAATATTACTGCCAAGGGAATATGGTAGCCGAAGGCCAGACAATACAACAACGCTTAAAAAAATATTCTGTCCTAAATGAGCAGCCCCCGGGCATCTCGCAAAGTGATGTGGAATCAGAAGGGATGCCATCTCCCGAAGGCTCCCAAGGGAAAATCTACACTTAGAATATTTTCTAAGTCCTACATATTTTCCCCCCGGTCAACTACTCTTACATCAAGAAGGGATGCCATCTCCCGAAGGCTCCCAAGGGAAAATCTACACTTAGAATATTTTCTAAGTCCTGCATATTTCCCCCCCGGTCAACTACTCATACATCATGGAGGGATTCCATCTCCCGAAGGCTCCCAAGGGAAACTCTACACTTAGAAGATTTTCTAAGTCCTACATATTTCACCCTCATCTCAAGGGACCCAATTGTCGAAGGCTACCTATCAATCGAGGGCTACAGTACACAAGGAATCAACACTCAAGAAAATTTTCTAAGTCCTAAAGAATTGGCCCCCGGCCTATTCGATATTTCAGTTGGGGCTCCACAGTAGCCGAAGGCTACGTGACATACTACACTTGCAAAAAAATTCTAAGTCCTGTACATTGGGCCCTCGGTCCAATATTCACACATCAGGAACGGATGCCATCTCCCGAAGGCCCCCAAGGGAAAATCTACACTTAGAAATTTTTCTAAGTCCTAGGAATTGGGTTACTGCAAACACCCGAAGGCCCTAAGGTGTGCTACACTTAAAAAAATCTTCTAAGTCCTAATTCCTACTGAACCCTCGGTTGCATATCCAGCAGAGGGTGCCCAACTACCGAAGGCGTCCAAGGGCAAGCTACAATCAGAAAATGTTCTAAGTCCTAAAACATACATTCAAAGGAGCAAAGACATACATCCAAAACAAAAACGAAGGCATGCATTCAAGGAGAAAGGAATTAGAAAAAACAAGCCACATATACAAGGCCCGAAGGCAATCATTCATTCAACAGAAAGAAGGGATTCAAATGTGTTTGTTACAGAGTATGGCCAAAGCCGAGGGGTGACAAATGTTCATTACAAAGCTTTTTCAAAAATTGACTAAGTACAAATCTTCTCGGCGGCTTCAGCCTCGTTGTCTCCGGGGGCATCTTCCACGACAGCCTTGGAGGAGACTTCTTCCCCGGCAGCATCACCTCCGACGGCTCCACCCCCATCACCCCCCATCATCACAGAATCATAGATTGTCGGCCGCTCTTCACCCGGGGGGAGGGGAACTCTTACATCTGGTTGCAACGGAGGGAGGCCGTATGCTGAGGGGTCGAATTGTTCGAGGGACACGCCAAAGTGCCTGGAAAGCCTCCGGTAGATCAGGTGCTGGGTAAAGAACTCACCCCCCTGGTAGTAAGCGTCGCCCCTGTCAGTCAGCCAGTCAACCCCGGGGCCTTCTACCCAAGCATCCACCGAGGCTGCCACCACGGAGGCCACCCACTCCTTGTGGCCCTCGGCCCTCCAGCCCTCGGCGAGGAACTCCGCAACTGCCTCCCCTCGGGCCTCGGCCGCAGCTCTCTCCTTGGCGGTTTGGGCTTCATCGGCAGCTTTTTTCGACGCCTCGGCAGCAGCCCTCTCGGCCTCTGCCTTGCCCTCGGCTATGCCGTCAGCCTTGGCCTTCTCCGCTGCCGCCTTCGCCTCCCGAAGGGCCTCCTCCAGCTGGGCAGCATGCTTCACCGCCTCGGAGTTCTTGCGGATCAGCCCCTCCATCTTCTTATCCTGGGCAGCCTCGTGAAGACGCCTTTCCTCGCGCCTCCGGGCTTGTTCCTCGAGGGCTATGCAGGCCTGCAAACAACGATCAAAGGAGTTAGATTATTCCTCAGGAAAAAATAATACTAAACTGATAAGATAAGGAAAAAGGAAGCAGATACTTACAGTGAGCGAGGACCGGAGGATCCTGTTCTCGAGGGCATCATCATCGTAGGTCTCGAAGACTTCCCTGTCCATCTTCGAGGTGATACCCCGCAGGAAGGCCCTCGGCTCGGCAGTGCCGTGCATCAATGAAGCGCCGGGGGAAAAAGAGAGCTGACGGATCTCCCGGGGTGCTTCCTCCGGGGTGACCGAGGCTAGGGGCCCATCAGCACCGGGCGCGTCATCAATAACTATGAGGGGGGCCGCCCCCTCGACGGCGCCCACGGCGGCTTTCTGCTTCTTGGTAGGGGGCTCCACCCCCTTATCGCTCCTCTTCTTCTTAACGGCCGCCTCGGCCTTCGACCCCCCGGTCCCCACAGCAGCATGGGCGTCCCCGGCGGAAGGCTCTATGACCTTCGGAAAAAGCGCGTCGACTGACTTCTGGCCCGAGGGCCCCTTCTCCTTTGGCTGGGTCTTGCCCTTCCTCTTCGCGAACAGGGCGTTGGCATTCATCCTGCTACCTGCAAAGAACGACAGCAACAAGTTGAAAGGTTAGAACCGAGGGGTCAGAGACACGACAACAAACATGACAGAAAATCTCTAAGTACAAAAATGTAAAGCCTCCGGCCACTACCTCCTGCTCCCACGAAGGCTTTATCATAGAGGGGATACTTCTCATCGGTCTCCCCAATGAACCGATACCTCAGGAATCCGAGGGCATGTAGGTCTTCCTCGAGGACGCACTCCTTGATTGTTATGTTCTTATCCCGACCCTCCGGAATCTTGGCAATCTTCAGGCCATCCTTCTCGAGGGCGGCACTCTTGACCTTCACGTGGCGCCGAAAGCGATTCCGCAACTCCCTCGGGAAAGGGCTGTCAGCCAGTCTGACATAGCACCATCGCTCTCTCCACCCTTTATTAGAAGAAGGGGCCTCGGTGAACAGTTTGAACTGGGCTATCTGCTGTACGTTTGCATAGCCCTCAACATTTGTATGCCCCCCCGGCATAGGTTGAAGCTTTGGAAGAATAACTCTAAGCTCGGTGTAACCTTCCGGAGTTTGCACAGGTTCACGAACCCCGTTATGTACGAGTGGCTGTTGGGGGTCAGTTGGCAGGGAACCAGGCCAGTGTACCTCAAGAACTCCCGGAGGAAAGGATGGAGAGGGAACCGGAGGCCCATTGAAACCGAGAGCACGTGCACGGCTATACATCCCTCGGGAGGCCGGGACAGCACGTCATCAGGACCTGGCTCGACTACTACGGCCGAGGGCCCTACGTGCAACTGGGTGATGTAGATGTCCGCCCTGTCAGCTTGGGACTTAATCTCCAGAGCGGCGGTGTCCAGGAAGGAGTAACTCTCCGGCAGATCTACTGGCCCCCCTTGGTCGACGGCCTTTACTTTCTTCTGGGGGCCAGCCTTCGTCTTCCTCCTCTTCTTCCCGGGGGCTACACTTAAAGGCGTCGGGTCCAGTGACCTCGAGCTACTTGCTTCCCCAGAACCCCGGGGGGAAAGAACAGCGACAGTGACCTTCGCCCTCTCCTTTTCCTCCTCCTCTTCAGCAACTTGGACGGCGAGGGCCAACTCTTCATCCTCGGCGGTTCGCTCGAACTCCTCCGCCTCGACCTCGGCCACCAGATCCTTCTGCACCTCGGTGGCGAGAGCTGCATCACCACCACCTGAGGGCTGACTGCTACTGGAGTCCATATCGGATATGCTTTCGTCCTGAACCGAGGGGGTCCTCGAGATGTCCTGAGAGTCACTCTGGGACGACATTCTAACTCTAGCTCGAGGGTTCGGGGGAACTAAGGTTTCTAGGGAATTCTATATCCTAACCCGAGGGCACAATGCACAGCTATATTTGAAGGAGAAAGGCAGGGGGCACTGACCTCGAAAGCTGAGTTTAGGACCGAAGGCTTGAGTTTCTCTCTCTAGAATTTTCGGCAGAGCTTCGCTAAGACAAATGATCACACAAGAAGGAATGGCCCTGGCCTTGGGGTATTTATAGGCGCTGGAATCCGGGCTTGGGCCCGGAAACCGGGCCTCCGTATGGACGCCATCATTACACACCGCGTCTTCGCCCAACCAGTGACGCCGCCCATGGACAGCCAGCCATCACACGCCACGTGTACCCCCCCCCCCCCCCAACGGCTATGAACCTGACAGTACATATTCCAACGGCTATAAATCTGACGCTACATATTCCAACGGCTATATTCCCAACGACTATATTCTGGAAGCCCCCGGGTTTTCTACTTCACTCCACTTCATCGAGGATAGCCTCCGGGTACACTTACCCAGAAGCGCCCCTGGGTTGTGCCCCACACAGCACATAACAGACGCCTTCGGGATCATTCCTTCAGAAACCCAGGGCTTCATATCAGGGCACCCCTCGGGGATTCCCCCTCAGCACTGCAAAACCGGGGTAGCCCCCGGGGAGTTGCCTCATTTACGAATAACCCATGGCACACACGTAATGGGAGCCCTCGGGTATCTTCATCACCAACTAATCAACAAACAGTGGATCCCCCGGTAACAACTCCATTGCCGCCCTCATCCAGCAGGCCCTCGATCCCCGAATTGAGGGGCTCCCCTTCGGCGCCACCAGGACATCAACAGCAAGCCTTCGGCTAATCAACACAGGAGCCCTCAGAAGAGAGAGCCTTCGGCATTCCCGTCATTCTCCATTTTTTACCAAGGTTTGACATTTTCGATTCATCATTGGGGGAATTCGGTGCACTCTTTTTCCCTCATTAGGATTTTTTCCCACAGGGTTTTTCCTAACGAGGTTTTTAACGAGGCATCCCCCCAAAATGAAACGAAAAACGTCAGCCTTCGGCCCACAACAGCAACGCAACTACTCTACTCCTTTTCACCACTTTACAAGTGCCTCAAGGAGTGGGGGACTGGAGGACCCCCTCGGGAAAATCGTTAAATTACAAAATTAGTGAAATTCCAACAAACGACAAGGCAAGCCCTCAAGTCCCGACATGTGGGTAACTGAGGGACTGCCTTCGGCAGGGACATAAAAGCAACAACTCCTCACCAACTTCAGAGATCACGACGGGACAACATCAAAGGGCAAGCACAAATTACTCCTTTTCCCTCAAGTACCTTTCGGCAAAAGGAGTGAGGGACTCCTGATGGAGTATATGGCCCGGGAACCCCCGGCCCACAGACTCCTACTACTCCAGCGAAGGCCCAACAGGCCCAGAAGGCCCAGAAGGCCCAAATCACAGCGCCCAGAGTACCAAGCAGCCCGCACTACACGCCAGGGGTGCCTTCGCCCCCCTGGCCGAAGGCTCTAAACTCTCACAGAACGGGTTTCTCAAGCAAACTAAGAAACTGGGAGAAAACGGCGAAAACAGTAGCCCTCGGCACTGTGAGCCCTCGGCACCAGGGTGCCATCGGTTGGAGGAGCCCTCAGCTACTGCTCTATAGCCGAAGGCATCTCACTCGACAAGATATCCGCCTCACATGCGTACAGATCACCGTACCCTGTACAGACGTCCCATCCAACAGCCGCATTAAATGCGGCCACATGCGGCTGCCAGCGCCAACCAGTTGAGGTGACCCCTCGGCCAATGAGCGCTTGACACGTGTCCCTGTCCGGCATTTATTGCTACTATAAATAGCATCCCATTTCCTCATTTGTAACCACGCTGAAAACGGCATTCATACTGAATACACTCTCTCTCTACATCTACTTACTTGCTCTGACTTCTCTCTAAGTTATTCCCCGTAATAACCCTTCGGATATATACCCCCGGGTAGACTATCCATCAGCCAATGAAAGGCGTCCCCCTCAGGACAAAGGCAAGGCACCTCTCCATGCCAACGACGCCCGCCACCAAATCAACCAGGCCCACTCGGCCCGGGTCCTTTCGCAGGGGGTGGAGGCCCTCCCGAAGGACCCCCGGGACGAGATCATTGCGGCCCTCCAGCGCCGGCTTGACGAGATGGAGGCCCCCAAAGCACATGCCGCCACTTCTGCCCCTCATGCAGACCTCAAGTATGAGGCGATGTTGGCCAAGTTGGAGGAAATGCAGAAGAGGATAGCCGAGGGATCCGGGGAACCCACCATACAGCTCCGGACCCGGACGCCATTCACCCCAAGGGTATTGGCGGCCCGGATCCCGGAAAAATACCGAGGGCAGCTCATCAAGCCCTACGACGGAAAGACTGATCCCAAAGAACACTACAGCAAGTATCAAAACAGCATGATGATGGTGGGGGCATCAGATACATATTTGTGCCGCTGGTTCCTCTCCACCTTGGAGGGGCCGACTTACGAATGGTTCAATCGATTGCCCGAGGGCTGCATTGACTCATGGCAAGAACTCGCCCAGCGATTCTTGACGCAATTTGCGGGAAGGCGCCGCACAAGAAAACACTTCTCCCACTTGCTCACAGTGAGGCAGAGGAAGGAGGAGACCCTTCGGGATTTCCTGGAGCGCTGGAGAACGGAGGCTGACAAAGTCGATGGCGCTGACGACGGGATCCTCCTGGCCCTCCTCCAAACGGTACTCCGCCCCGGGAACTTCTCGAGGAGCCTCATCGTCGAACCCCCCGCGATTATATAAGGGCCCTACAGCGGGGGGACCGGTACGCCGAAGCCGAGGAGGTGGAGAAATGCCACCACGTCCCAGAGCAGCAACGCCCTCGGCCAGACGACAAAGGTAACCGGGGGCCGGGGGCTCCCCGCAATCATCCCAAGGATTCTGCCCCCTCCGGTGATCGCCCCCGGCATGGCCAAGCCAAGCCCGGGGGAGGTTACAAGGGGAACCCAAGGGCTTGGGCACAGCCTGTCCTCCTAGAGCACCCTCGGACACCTTTGACGCACCCCGTCAGCGTCATTCTTGATTTTGCTGAGGAGAGGGGCCTAGTGGAGCGAGATTCACGCGCACCCCCGGAGGTATTTTCCATCAATCCAAACTACCCCTACTGTCGTTTCTACCGACACCAGGGGCACAGGACCGATGACTGCCATCAGCTGAAGACGGCCATCGAAAGATTGATACAAGCGGGCCATCTATCCCAGTTTATCCAGGGCCCTCAGCAACAGGTCCCCCCTCACCAAGGGCCAACCCGAGGGCAAACTGCGAGAGCAAATGCATGGGTCAACCCCAACACCATCCCCCTCGGCAAGAAGAGGGAGATCGGAAATCTGGAGGAGGAGGAGTACCCTCGGTATCAAGAAAAGAAACGCCACATCCTCATGATCACGGGGGGAAATACCAGGGGTGATTCTACGAGTCAACGAAAGAAGTGAGCTCAATCACTTTACGTGGGGGAAGTCACTCATATGCCCCCAGTAAAGCGGCTGAGGGAGGAACCCATTATCTTCACTAACGCTGATCTCCCCCCAGTATCCTCCCCACACAGGGATGCCCTCGTCATCCGGACAGAAATAAATGACACCATTATTCACAGAACTTACATTGACACGGGCAGCTCCGTCAATGTAATGTACCTCAGCACCTTCAGAGAGCTGCATCTGGAGAGGGGGTCCCTTCGGCCCAT